CCGGAGAGGCAGGGAGTGTCAGGCCCATTTTACCGGCGGGCAAACTGAGGCTCAGGAATGCTGGGTGATTTGCCCGAGGACGCACACAGAGGGAGGGGCCAAGCCGGATTCCACCTCGGGACTCCCCGCTTCTGGGGAGACCGGTGAGGCTCCCGCGACACGGCCCTCCCATCCCCAAGCCTCTCGTGCAGATCTCCGCTCTGTGGGACTTGATTGCGGGCTGCCGGCCCGTGGCTCCAGCAGGCAGAGAGAGGACGGGAGAGGAGATGGCTACGAGGCTTGGCCGCAGGTAGCTGTGGTGCTCCCCCGACAAGGAACAGGAAACCCTCTTCGTTTGTTAATCTAAATATACAAAAATAAAACTAGTTGCTGGGTTCTGAGACGGAGTCTCTGAGGCATTAGGAGGCCCACCCTTAGTTTTTCTTTTCTTCACGCAGGAATCAAGTCCCTGGCCTGGGGGCGGCAAAAGGAGATGGGCAGTGGGTCGGTGGGCGCGCGGGCTCAGACCTGGGGCTTCTGAGCCCACGCCCAGGCATCTGGGACCCCTCACTTCTGAGGCCACCTCCAGCCCTTTAGAATGAAGGGCTGGCACAGTTCTACCAGGATGCACATTTAGTGACTTCTGTCAGACTGAAGCATCCCCTCGCCCCAAGCGCCTGAAGTGTGAGGGGCACTGTTCTAAGTGCTTTAATTCGCATTTGTTTAATCCTCGCAGGAGTCACCTTGAATGGGCACTCTTATCCCCACTTTACAGAAGAGGAAACTGAGGCACGGAAAGACTGAGTGATTACTCAGGGGGCACGCTCCAAGAAACAGGGAGAGAGAGGATTTGGACCCAGACAGGCTGGCTCCATAGTCCTCTGGACTTTGGTGTGGCTGATCCAACTCAAGCCTTCTCCTTTTTGCCTCTTCTGTGATCTTGCATGCGTTTGTGCAGAGAACGAGAAGGCAGATCAAAGTTACAAATTCTGTAGGAACATCACTAAGCAGAATCTTGGGTGCTGTCCCCACCTCTCTGTACCTGCTCCCTCCCAGAGGAGCCAGCCTGCACTTACTGCCCCGGGCCCTCTCTATCTGAGAAAAGTTGAAGGTACTTGATATTAATCTGTACATAGTGGTTTTGCAGGTTAGAGTCTGAGATCCTCAGTTTCCTTATCTGGAAAAGCTTCTTCATAGGATCTGCTTCATAGGATTGTTATGAGAATTAAGTAAGATGGTGTGGGCCGGGCGCGGTGGTTCACACCTGTAATCCCAACACTTTGGGAGGCCTAGGTGGGTGGATCACCTGAGGTCAGGAGTTCGAAACCAGCCTGGCCAACATGGTGAAACCCTCTCTCTACTAAAAATACAAAAAGTAGCCGGGTGTGGTGGTGCATGCCTGTAACCTCAGCTACTCAGGAGGCTGAGGCACGAGAATCACTTGAACCCTGGAGTCAGAGGTTGCAGTGAGCCGAGATTATGCCACTGCACTCCAGCCTGGGCAACAGAGTGAGACTCAAAAAAACAAAAAGATAGTGTGGGTGAAGACTTTAGCACACTTCTCCATACATAGCAGATGCTTATTCGCTGTTAGTTCTCTTTTCTGTTCCCATCCATATATTAATAGATTTATTTGTCGTTGTTCCTCAGTATTTAAGTATTTAGCATAGTACTTGCATATGGTAGGTGCTCAGTTAATGCTAGTTTATTAAATTGATGTATAAAACAATATATAAAATATATAAATCTGTATAAACTATGTTAAAAATATAAACGTATAACATAAACATGTTTATAAATGGATAAACATATAAATACAATTATTTAAGTATAAGATAAGAATGTAAAAATTTAAAAGCAAAAATATTACACCTGTTTGAGAGTTTGTAGAGCAAAAGGTTAAGAGCACAGGCTCTGTCTAGATCTGACTGCCTGGGGGCAAATCCTGGCTCTGCTGTGTGGCCTGAGGGATTTACCTGTCTGTGTCTCGGGCTCATCTGTAATCGGGAGACAACGCCTCCTCCAGACTCTGGATGGCATTCGGAGAGAGCAGTGCGTGGCACACAATATGCATCTGTTATTATTACTGAGGCTGCCTGTGACACTTGAGCAGTTCACATGAGGTAATTTAAATGAGACACTGGGTCATGGGGGATACTTTTCACAAGGGCCATCTCGGGGGGCTCAGGCAAGGCAGCCTCGTCTCATCACCTCCTTAGGCTGGCTCTGGACCATTACAGGATGTGTGTGTGTGGTTCAGGGTCCTCCTGGCTGTGAAGATCTGAGGCACGTGGTACTTCTCACTGGTGTGTGCCATCTTCTGGGGGTTCTTTCTGTAAAATAAACCTCAAACAGCCTCCAACCTGGAGAATCAACTATCTAGATATAAGGCCATCAAACTTTTAATGGTTGGGCAGTTTGCCAAGTGCTGTCTTGTATTTTGGTGTTCACCCCCGCTGAGGAAGCCAGATATCAGAAAAGTGAGGTCAGCTACATTCCACAGTGGTTGAGATAAAGGGTCACTCCTATTCATGAAAAGGGCCCAATGGGGACTGCGTCTACATCATCCCAAACACTTGGATGAAAGGCCAGCTGTCAGTCATTGGATGTCTCCTCAGCTGAATGATGCTGTCTGAATATTTGGGAACCCCCAAGTAGAGAGTAGAGATTGTACTAAAGTAATTGTGTTTTTTGCCATTGCTTTCAATGGAAAGCAATGAGAATTGTTATGAGAATTAAGTAAGATGGTGTGGGCTGGGCACAGTGGTTCACACCTGTAGTCCCAGTGCTTTGGGAGGCCAAGATGGGTGTATCACCTGAGGTCAGGAGTTCAAAACCAGCCTGGCCAACATGGTGAAACCCTCTCTCTACTAGAACTACAAAAATTAGCTAGGCGTGGTGGTGCGTGCCTGTAATGTCAGCTACTCAGGAGGCTGAGGCATGAGAATCGCTTGAACCCTGGAGTCAGAGGTTACAATGAGCCGAGCTCGCACCATTGCTTCAATTGAAAGCAATGGCAAAAACCACAATTACTTTTGCACCAACCTAATAGTGGCGCTAGCCGTCAACTGTTCCCTAGAAGAGTATCTCCAGGCATGGCCCCTGTGCCTGGGAGAACCTATGTGCCACAGAGGACTCAAAATCTGGGATTTTGCAGAGGAATTTGTTTAAAAAGCAGAAGAGTGAGATTAATAAATAATGGGGAGGGGGGTAAGGCCCCCAGAAAGCAGATTTGTTTTTAAGAACTAAATGTCCTCAGTTCTACAATTCGCAGAGCCAAGTTAGAACATAGACTGTAGAAATATACTACAGGTAGAAGCCCGTTACACCTAGACTGAAGACACATCCAAACTGCTATGCTGTATCAAAGCGTTTTTATGCCACCCTAGGCTGTTTACTTGCTATTTGCTTTAAGGGAGTAATTTTGAATGTAATCACTGTCAGGGGTTACAATGAAATCAGAAGGATAAAAAGCGCCCTTTCTTTTTCAGTTGGATAAAATGCATTCCTCTCTCTGATTGTATTACAGATTTTGTTGTTTTAAATATGTGAGGATTTCCTGCTGGGCTTTTCAGGAGGAGTGCTTTACCACTTTTCACCAAGTGGGGGCTCTGCTCAGCTGCACTATTGAGCGCAGCTTTGCAAATTCTCTGAGATAGGACTAATTCTTAGGGCTTCAGTGATGCTGTGGGCATTTTTGCTGCAAGATCTGCAGCCTGTGCACAGCCACCTCTGGTGCGGACTTGATTTTGTGTACTTTGAAAATTCCAGGATTTATATTCCATTCCTAGTCTTTGTTGAAGGCTTAGGCCGAAAGAGTACTTCTGAGCTGAATTTTGCTCACTACTGAGGCCCTGTAAGATTCCATCTCCATTAGAGCTGGACCCACACACCACTGGGACCTGTCCTTGGAAAGATGCTCCCAGACTGTTTATTTGCCAGCTTCTCTTTTAGCTTGATTGCCTGCCAAGCAGACTTGTAGAAGTCAGAAGAAAAAAGTATTAGCCCTAAGAAAGAATAGAAGCTAAAACATTCATTGAGCACTTTGCTTGCTGGGTACTATTTAAAATAAGTTATCAGATGAAATCATGTGATCCACATAAAACTCTTATGATGTAGGTGTTATTAGTATTTCTATTTGCAGACGGGAAAACAGGCTTCAGGAGAAAGGTGAGAACCTCCTTGCACACCACTAACTAGGAACATAAATAGGATTTGGACCCAGGCAGTCAGACACTAGCGTCCACATCCTGAACCTCTATGCTATACTGCCTGGCCAAGCCTAGGCATACTGAAAAGTGTGTGTTATAGAAACTGATTCTATGGCAACTCATCTGTCACAGGACTCTCGCTTGACTGTTTTAAGACAGATAACTAAATTTTTTTTAAAGTGGCACTTACGATTTCTGCACATGTTGAACAGTAGCTGAGTTGTTGAGATTTCTTGAAAACTGGTCTCAGAGCTCTTTGTTTGAAACATTTGTCACATGAGCCAAATACATTAGCAAGAAAGGTCTGATCACACATCTTCTACCCAAGATGAACTGAGAAAAAGTGAAAAGAAGGGAGAGGGTGTGAGAAAAGCCAATGGTTTTAGCTTTCTAAAATCTCTTCTTGCTTGTACCATGGTAGCTATTCAGACGTCTACATGTGGGATAGAGTATATGCAATTAATTTATAACCTTTCAACTATTACAACATGCTGGGGCAATACAACTCATTTATTTAATCAGTGAGAAAGCATCAGACAATAGGTTTTCTGAACTTAACGCGTCTAACCAGTTTTTTGGCAGCTGGCAGACACAGTCAGGATCGATCCTGGCAGCACAGTATCAATTCTGTGGGGTTTCACAACGGAAAATGTTGTTGTAATGGATGCTATAATTTAAAACTTTTAAAAACATTCCTCCCGTCAGGGTGAACTTTTACAGTAAAGATAAGGGTCAGCAAATGATGGAGCCTGACCCTAACCAAAGCCAGGGGGCTGAGTAAGGGTGGTGTGGGTTCCCTGGAAGGCAAGCACCCACTTATTAAACATTTGACAGCCAAAGACCCAGGGTCCCTGTCTGTTCACAAGGAAGTCAACAGACAGGCCCAGGCCGCTGCAGGGAGGCAGCCTTGAGGCAGCACAAGCATCTAGTGGTTTCAGGGACAGGCTGTGGCTGCCTGGTCCCGGACCACCACTGAGGCTAGTTACCTGACCTCTCTGAAGCTTGGTTTTGCTAATCTGTCAAGTGGAGATCTTAAAATCTACCCTCTGGGGTTATCAGGAGAATGATAAGAGTCAGTGCATAAAGCACTTAGCTCAAGGTTGGTAATACAGAGAGTGCGCCAGTGCCCTGAGTGGCAGCAGTAGCGGGAACAGTGGCTGCCTTGGGAAGGAGGGATAGGGGAAGGGGCAGGGTGAGGCTGGAGATGCGAAGGAAAAAATGAGAGGAGCCTATGGCAACGGTTCAGACAAGACGTGAGGAAGTCATGGACTAAAGGTGAGAAAGTAACTTTTATCTGAGGAATGCAAGCCCTTTTAAATTATCAGGCCCAGAGAGTCATGAAAATGAGACAGCAATAACATCCTAGTCCCCACTTTCAGCTGTGTATTCATCTTTTTATTATTATTATTGTTATTGTTATTTTGAGACAGAGTATCTCTCTGTCTCCCAGGCAGGAGTGCAGTGGCACAATCTTGGCTCACTGCAACCTCATTCTCCCGGGTTTAAGGGATTTTCCTGCCTCAGCCTCCCAAGTAGTTGGGATTATAGGCATAAACCACCATGCCAGGCTAATTTTTGTATTTTTAGTAGAGACAGGGTTTCACCATGTTGGCCAGGCTGGTCTCGAACTCCTGACTTCAAGTTATCTGCCCACCTTGGCCTCCCAAGGTGCTGGGATTACAGATGTGAGCCACCATCCCTGGCCTCATCTCTTGAAACTGCTTGCTATTCACACAAGTAGCTAAAAAACAACCTAGGCCGGGCGCGGTGGCTCAAGCCTGTAATCCCAGCACTTTGGGAGGCCGAGACGGGCGGATCACGAGGTCAGGAGTTCGAGACCATCCTGGCTAACACGGTGAAACCCCGTCTCTACTAAAAAATACAAAAAACTAGCCGGGCGAGGTGGTGGGCGCCTGCAGTCCCAGCTGGTCGGGAGGCTGAGGCAGGAGAATGGCGTAAAAACCCGGGAGGCGGAGCTTGCAATGAGCTGAGATCCGGCCACTGCCCTCCAGCCTGGGCGACACAGCAAGACTCCGTCTCAAAAAAATAAATAAATAAATAAATAAATAAAACAACCTAATAATGCCACACTGGACACTATAACCCATACCCTGTAGTGTAACAATGTATAGCCAATCACTAATCAATGTTATTTCTATAAACCAATGAGAATTCCTGACAACTTTGTATCAGCCAACTCCCTGTCCCTCTTTTTTACCTTTGAAAAAAAAAACTGCTTGTAACAAAGGCCAAACAGAGATAATGTTCAAAGTTACTTGGGTCTGGGCCTTCCAGGCATCTGTCCTCACTTTGGCTCAGGTAAACTCCTTAAATCTTGTTTTGTGCTACAGCCTCTTCCTTTTAGGCCCACAGAGCAATGTAGTGGGATGGACTTGGACCATGCTTAGGAAAGAGAAAGAGAAGGAGCTGGATTTGGCATGTGGGGTTGAGGAGAGGGAGATGTGGGTGCTGTGACCTAGATTTCTTTGGGAGACCGAGGGGTTATGTTGCCATTGCTGGAGATGAGGACAAAGCGGTTAAGGGGGAAGGGAGGCCAGTGTGGCCCTGTCAATTTGGTAGGTGTTCCAGAGTGAGTCCCTTCAAGATTCAGAGAAATGACTCCCTGAACATAAAGATAATTGGGAGTGGTGGTCTGAACATTTCAACAGAGTCAAATCTGAGAGGGATGCATTTATGGGGGAGGTGACAGTGGGGACATTTCTGATGAGAAACCTCTGCCATGTGGAGCCCACCCTGGGGCTGGAGAGAGAATGGGGAGCTCATGAGTTGGGCTGAGCTCCTACAGCAAAGGGGCGGCCAGCACAGTTCCAGAGACCTCTAGGCAACAAAGGCATACAGGGCATCCCTTAGGGACAACAGCTCGAAAGGAAACCAGCTACCAACTGCCACAGAGTGCCCAGCCCTTGCCTCTCAAAACTATCCTGGGAGGGGGGCAGGACATCTGTGTTACAGCTGAGAAGAAGCAGGGGGATTAAGTAAGTCCAAGGTCAGCGGCAGAGCTGAGTCTGTAAGTAGCGTGAATACACACTTTGGAACCCTTCCAAGCTAGCATGGTCAAGCCGCATGGTTTTGTCACAAAAGGTGAGTTAACAAAAAAGGGCCTGCCCTCCAGAGCCTGGCCCATGGTGGGGCTTGGTAACTGTTGCACCCCACTCCCCAGCCCTGTAAAAGGCAGCCAGTAACAAGGTCAGGCTGAGCACTCCCAGTAATAGCATTAGGACGGTGAGCCACGGGCTGTTAAGCAAGGGAGCAGCGTCATCCATGTGGATTATTCCAGAATTTGTGCTTCCAGAAATAGGTCAGAGACAGAGAGAGAGAGAGAGACAGAGAAGGGACGGCAGGAAAACAAACTAGGTTAAGAGATTGCTGTGTTCTGCAGAAGAAGAAATGAGCTCCAGACAGAGGAGCAGCTATGGAAATGGAAGGCGAGAGGAACCCGTGGCACCAAGTAGAGGAGGAATAGAAGGATGGCTGGGAGGCACGGAAGAGAAAGACAAGTAGAAAAGATGGCCGATATTCCATATCTAGATAGAGGCAATGTTTTTCTTCTCAAACTAAATTGCGAATTTTTTCAAATTATAAAAGATACTTATAATGTTCATTATAAGTAACTTGAAACAGAGGGCTGGGCGCGGTGGCTCACACCTGTAATCCCAACACTTTGGGAGGCTGAGGCGGGTGGATCACTTGAGGCCAGGAATTTGAAACCAGCCTGACCAACATAAGGAAACCCCATCTCTACAAAAAATACAAAAATTAGCCTGGCATTGTGGCGTGCACCTGTAATCCCGCTACTCGGGAGGCTGAGGCAGGAGAACCACTTGAAGCCAGGAGGCAGATGTTGCAGTGAACTGAGATCACGCCACTGCACTCCACCCTGGGCAACAGAGTGAGACTCCATGTCAAATAAGTAAATAAATAACTGGAAACAGAAGGACACAAAAAGGGGAAGGTAATCGCCTACATGCCCTATGCCAATAAAAATAACTGACTTGTTGGCATTTTATGTTTTCTTCTAGTATCTTTATAAGCATATATGTGTGTGCTTTTTAAAAAATTGGAATTGTATGCCATATACTACTTTAACTTATATAATAGCATTTTCATCTTCGCGTCATTGCATATTGTTGGAAAACACTATTTTTTAACGGATACTCCAATTTTTGAGTCATATGGGCCTCAAGTCATATCACATAGCTAGCATTTTAGACCTCACTGGTTAAACATGGTCAAGCTACAAACTAAATTTAAAGCATTTTAAAACTGTAAATGTTATACATATGATTGTAGAAAGTTTGGGGGGAAAAAGGTATAAGGAAGAAGATAATCACCTATAATCTCACGACTCAGAGAAACTTCTTTTTACATTTTGGTGTATGCAAGAATAGATTTGAGACCACAGAGGTCATACTGTTCATGTATACTGATGACATTTCTATATCTTGATGTTTTTCACTTAGTATTTATATCATGAGCTAAATTTAATTTTAGTACTTTCTGTTGTACTTATTGTCAATAATCCTTTTTATGATGAGAGAATTTTTCACAGCTAGAGCCAATGTTTCGATGAACATTTTGACAAGAAAGACAAAAATGCCCCATTTAACAAATTTTGACATGAAGTTGCTTTCCAGTAGGAGTTCATAGAACTTCTCAAACCTTCCCCTAATAACCTTATGCCAAGCACAAACTGTCTTTGATATCTGTTTTACCTAAATATATGGCTTAAAAATTACCACAGAAATACATGTTTATTTTAAAAAGAACCAATACCAAAGATGAGAAGGTAAAACTTGAATCCCCCATCACATGCCCTGCATTTTCACTGCCCTTATTTGGTTTGTTGTTTATTCTTCCAGACTTTTCTGGCACAAACACATAGATACAGCTTTGGTAGTCATGCAAATAGGGCTACTTGCTTTCTTTGTCTAACATATTCTGTTAACACTTATAGATCTACCTTTTTTGGTAATAGGTTCAGCATTATTCTGTCCTATGGAGTGTCATAATTTATTAAACCAACTTCCTGTGTTTGGATACATAAGGTATATCCACTTTTTACTTTTAAAATACTGCTTCATTAACTCAATTAAAAATGGACAAAAGGACTTTCATACATTGCTGGTGGAAAGGTAAAGTGGGGTATCCATTTTCCAACGGTGCAGCTGTGGAAAACAGTTTGGTAGTTATTCAAAACATTAAATATACAGCTGTTATCATATGACCCCACAATCCTCCTTCTAGATATATACCCAGGATAATTGAAAATGTATGTTCACTGGCCAGGTGTGGTGGCTCACGCCTGTAATCCCAGTACTTTGGAAGGCCCAGGCGGGTAGATCACCTGAGGTCAGGAGTTCAAGACCAGCCAGGGCAACATGGTGAAACCCCATCTCTACTATACAAAAATTAGCCAGGCGTGGTGGCAGGCACCTGTAATCCCAGCTACTTGGGAGGCTGAGATATGAGAATCGCTTGAACTCACAGGATGGAGGTTGCAGTGAGCCGAGATCACACCACTGCACTCCAGCCTGGGGAGACTCCGTCTCAAAAAAAAAAAAGGAAAAAAGAAAAAAAATGCATGTTCATGACAGCATTATTAGCCCAAAGTGAAAGCACCTCAAGTGTCCACTAACTGACAAACGAATAAACAAAATGTCTATCCCTCCAGTAGACTGCTATTCAGCAACAAAAAAGAATGACATTCTGACACATGCTACAACATGGTCCAACCTTAAAAATGCTATCCTGGCCGGGCGCGGTGGCTCAAGCCTGTAATCCCAGCACTTTGGGAGGCCGAGGCGGGTGGATCACGAGGTCAGGAGATCGAGACTATCCTGGCTAACATGGTGAAACCCCATCTCTACTAAAAATATAAAAAACTAGCCGGGCGTGGTGGCGGGCGCCTGTAGTCTCAGCTACTTGGGAGGCTGAGGCGGGAGAATGGCATGAACCCGGGAGGCAGAGCTTGCAGTGAGCCGAGATCATGCCACTGCACTCCAGCCTGGGAGCACAGCGAGACTCCGTCTCAAAAAAAAAAAAAAAAAAAAAAAAAAATGCTATCCTATGAAAGAAGCCAGACACAAAAGGCCACATATTGTATGATTTCATTTATGTAAAGTGTACAGGATCAGCAAATTAGTAGAGACAGGAAGCAGATGAGTAGTTGGGAGGTGGAGGGAAGAGAGAATAAGGGGGAAGGAGGGAGTTGGGAGTGGCTGCTTAAGGGGTATGGGATTTCTTCTTTAGGGTGATGAAAATACTCTGGAGTTAGTGACAATGGTTGCAAATCCTTGTAAATAAACTAAGAAAACACTGAAATATTTGTTTTAAAATGACGGGTTTTAAAATATGAAACAAAACATGTGGACATCATATCTCAATAAAGATTATTTTTAAAATGGACAAAAGGCTTGTGTAGTCACTTCACAAATGAGGATACTTATATGGTCAATAAACATATAAAAAAGTGCTCGTTATCATTAGTCATCAAAGAAATACAAAGTAAAACTACAGTGTGATACAACTACTTACCCATCAGGAAACTTAAAAAGCCTGACAACACAAAAGTGTGGGCAAGGATACAGAGATTGGAACTGCCTTTCTCTGCTGGTGGGAGTGTAAGTCGGTATAACCACTGTAGAAAACTGGTTGGTAGGAGCTAATAAAGTGAAACGGATATATTCTATGACCAAGCAATTCTACTCCTGCATACATACGCCACAGAAAATAATGCTTATTTCCTTTAAAAACACACACACACACACACACACACACACACAAATGTCATAGCAGCTTTATTCATAGAAGGCCTAAACTTGAAAGACCCAAATGTTCACCAGTTGTAGACTAAATTGTGAAATGAGCATAGAGTAAAAAAGAACAAATTGATACACACAGCAATGTGGATGTATCTGACTTACAACTACAAAATGTTCTGTGTCAAAAACCTTTTTCTAACCCCATAAACTGTACTCAGAGGCTTATGTTGTCATGTGTCACCTGGATCAAATTTTAAAACTAACTTAGTGATTTTAAGTATGCTTAATCTTTTTCCTGATGCCACTATTAATGTAAAAAACACTTTACTGTTTCAAAATAAATTCATGTGTATTGTAGAAAAATTAGATTTTACAGATTAACAGCAACAAAACCCCTCACCCATGCTCCCACCACAAAGACCTGCTAACACTGTGGCCTGTACTCATCTGGATGCTTTTCCGAGCACTTCAAAAGCTGGAGTATTTTAACTAAATGTCAGCATGCACGTACCTTCCAGAGTCAGCACTGGGAGCCACAGAGCAGACGGTGAGAGGTGAGGACTAGCGCAGCTTGAGGTGTGAAGCACCTCTCCCACCGGTTAATCTCCTTATCTTCTCAGAGTGCTTCTCAGCTTGCTTTCTTCCTCCACTGCACTTCCATGCTCCCTGCTGGGCACGCGCTGCCATCTGCATCCCTCACTCACCCCTGGAACCTTCTGCCCAGCCTCACTGTGGAGGGAGACCTTGGCAGGTTTGACCTCTGTGTCTGAGCCCACTCACTGAGCAGGCCTCACATTCACCTGGGCCGCATGTTCTTAACATTTCTCTATTTTGGTCTCCTTGCCACTGTCAGCTTTGTAGAACTGATCAAGACTGTGGGGTGAGTGCCTCCCTCTCCCCATGTTTCCACACATAAACTCCTCAGCCTCCACAGGTCTCCCTGTCCCCAAACATGACCTACTTTGTCCCATGGTTGACTCCCCGCCACACACACACAGTCCTCCAACAGGACTTGGCTCCGTCAGTTCTCTCCCACCTCATCAGCAGTAGGATGAAGGCAGGGATGCAGAGGATGTGGTACCTGCCCTCTGGGGCTCACAGGCCTACAGAGGAAGTGGGCAGCATTTCTGGCTTCCAGCCCAGGGTAAGTGCTGTAAAACAGGCATAAATCCTGAGTTATGGAAGCCGAAAATCAACCGTGATGGCTCCTCATGGTGTGGGGAAGGTCTAGAAAGGGCATAGAGGTCACAGCTCAGGATCAGAAATCCAGCCAATTCTCTGCCAAGTAGCCCCTCATTCTGACACAGTGTGGAAGCACCCTGGAGACACAGCCTGAGCCAGCACTGTGACATGTTTACTTCCTTTCTACACATTTTAATATACTTTAAATGAGATATTATGGATCTGTAAAGATTCTAGCGTCTTTCAGTGTGACCCTAAAGAAAGGCATAAAACTTGTGCACTTAAGAGACATGTCATCTCCTTGCAATGAAAGAATCTGACCCAATTCATTTGGTAATTAATTTTATTTATTAAAGTATTACAAAGTTCTACTTTTCATTTTTTCATGTACAATATATTGAAATGAACTAAACTCAATCACTTATAATATGAAAAGATATTATTACATATTAGCAGGGTGATATCGCTTCATAATCCTGTATTATTGCTACCTCTAAGACACTAGTCTATATTATAGAATCACAGCTATCACCTGTGACTGTTAGACGCAGAAGGTGCAGTTGGGATTCTTGGGTTGGTAGCACAACAGCACTGGATCCACAGGCCAGAGACTAGGAGTGCTTATCAAATGAGGTTTTAGGCTCTGAAAGGAAGGAATGAGAAGGTGTGCCGGGACAAGAAATAGCCAGTTCCCATAAAACTTGGGAAACATAGATTTCTCAAAAGGAGGGTCCGACATAATTTTTTAGTTACTTTTGGAGAAAATTTAAAAATAAATACATTGAAATGCTGATTAGAGAGAGAAAATAATTTAGGTTGCCTTTTTAAACTGATTTTTTTTAAAGTTATTGTATGAAAGGCATTAAAAATTAAAAAAAATTATGGTGAATATGTTGGTAGGTAAGATGTGAAGTTCTTTCAGAGAAGATAAATGGCACGGCAATTACGCTTTAATAATATATTAGTTTAAAATAGATATACACATAAAAATACTTCATATGATTCATCTCAGATTGAACACTCTCTTAAAAATTAAAAGGGTCAGCTGGGTGAGGTGGCTCATGCCTGTAATCCCAGCACTTTGGGAGGCTGAGGGGGGCGGATCACAAGGTCAAGAGATCGAGACCATCCTGGCCAACATGGTGAAACCCGTCTCTACTAAAAATACAAAAATTAGATGGGTGTGGTGGCGTGTACCTGTAGTCCCAGCTACTCAGGAGGCTGAGGCAGGAGAATCACTTGAACCTGGGAGGCGGAGGTTGCAGTAAGCCGAGATCACACCACTGCACTCCAGCCTGGCAATAGAGCTAGACTCTGGAGTCTCAAAAAAAAAAAAAAATTTAGAAGGGTCTAAAATAAACTTTTTTTTTTTTGAGATGGAGTCTGGCTCTGTCGCCCAGGCTAGAGTGCAGTGGTGCGATCTCGGCTCACTGCAATCTCTGCCTCCCGGGTTCACGCTGTTCTCCCAACTCAGCTTCCCGAGTACCTGGGACTACAGGCGCCCGCCATCATGCCTGGCTAACTTTTCTAAAATAAACATTTCTCAATGCAGGGCATTTTCATTAAAACGAATTCATGAAAACCTTCCGTCCCCAGCAGGCATGGGGCAAGAGAGCTCTTGGCAGGCCATGGTGGCCAGATGGGATTATTTCCTGGAAGACTGAGCCCTGGAATCCACTTGCAGCTTTGTAAATGTACTCAGGCTTCACATGAACCTTAGAAAACTTGGAAGCCACTGTGTCCCCAGATCTCACTCCCTCCTGGTAGAGCCCTGCCACAGACAGAACAGATCAAGAGGCACGTGGAAGAAAATATGAGCCCTCCAGGAATTTCAGTCAAAACCAGCTGAGATTTGAGAGTGAGACATGGCTTTTCCAACTACAGCTGGTGTGTGTGAATTCTTACAAAATTGCAGCAGCAGCACTGTCACTGTGGGTGAGAGATGATGTGGTCCATTTGAGAAAAGTCTATTTTCTTCCTTAAATCACATTCCAATTTCCATTGCCAATTAATAAACCACATCCCTCATATTGAACCTTCACTTAGCTTTTGAGGAAAAAGTGCATTGACTTTTTCTCCTGCTATAACCTATTCAGAAAGCCTAGCTTGAAACTGCTGGGGATCTGAATCATTTCCAGAGCATGTGGAGAGGGGGTAAAAGGAAATGTGACTTGAAAGAGATATTTGGTATCCAACATCAGCTGTGATGAATCCTCACGGCTATTTAGGAGAGCCTGGAATCAGAATCAGAGGAAAAATGAGTAAGGAAACTAACATGTTCTGCTTTACTGCTACCTGAAAGTCAAGGCAAAACACAACTATCTCTAGTGGAGAACTCCTTGCACCATCACGTGAAATGACATACATGAGAGCTTTTTAACAACAGCACAATTCCAAAGTCTATCCAGGGCTTCCAGATCAGCTCTCATGAACAATTAACTTGCCTGTTTCACTTCAGAAGTTAATTTCCCATGGGATGAGCTGACCATAAATCTGTTTTATATTCTAATCTATTCTAATCAGCATAATTCTAAGGTCAAACATGAGTAGATTTCAAGTATTACATTTTTATTGAACCCAACTTTCTTCTTCATTCATGGGTTTGCAACCTTTTTGCTCTCAGGACTGCTTTATACTAAAACATTACCAAGGCCCCAAAAGCTTTTGTGTATATGGGTATGACTATCAGTACTTGCCATATTAGTAATTAAAATGATTTATTAATTCATTAAAATAAGCTCAATACATGTTAAACATAAGTTTCCAAAACAAAGAAAATTTAGTGAGAAGTGGTATTTTCTATTTTTGCAAATCCCTTTAATGTCTGACTTAATATATCATATATAATCATATATTATATATGCCATATTTTAATATATATGTCATATTATCATATATATAACATATCATATATATCTGTTTCTGCATTCAATCTGTTGTGATACGTTATTTTGGTTGAAATACATGAAGAAAATCCACAGGTATCTATGTAGAAAATCCACAGGTATCTATTTAGAAAATCCACAGGTATGTATTCAGAAAAAGGAAGAGTTTGCAGACCCTCTTCAAAGTGTCTCAAGGACTCCCAGGGATCCTTGAGCCAAACTTGGAGAACTGCTGCCCTAGCGTTCCTTAGGGGAGAAACTTTAGGGATTATATAAGAAAAAATGGTTATACAAATGATTATAAAAGAAAAATCATCTCGGTTTCCATTCAGCCTCTGCCCACTTGCATGGTATTCAAAGATCAGTAAGAAATAAGATATATTGACAGAATACAGCATGGGAATCATGGTTTTGGTGTTTTCATTCCCTTCCCACCTGGACTAAGGTGGATTCTGAAAATTTCACAGGAAAATTTCCTGCTTATCTTTGAGCTAGGTGCCTTCCATTTGTATATGTGGGTAAATGTACTTTAATCCTGGATTTCTGTAATGTTAATTAAATATCAACATCTTATACCATAGTTAGGAGATAAAAATTAAAAGGCACATCCTTAAGAATCTCACCTGTACTTTGCGAACAAAGGATGGAGTCACTCTCTTCTCAAAGTCATCTATAGGCGTGTATGAATTAAGGATCTTTATGATCTGGAAACAGTACATAACATGGTGTTAGACCATGCAAAATAATAACTCTGTTCATAAAATAATGGTTCTGGTTATTGGGAACCATTGGGAAGCACAGGTGGTTCTTTTGGCCTATAATTTGGCTCAGGAACTGTATGTTACCTATTTCCAAGAAAAGAAAACAAAGGGAGAAAAGTGCCATAGGGAGCAAAGGCAAATCAGATAATCAGACATCAGTAAGAGGAGCCCCTTCCAGGCTCCCCACCTCCCACATGCCCACCCCTCTACATACACATTTGTGAGTTTAATGGGCAGGGAATGCATTGCAGAGATTTGTGTGTATGTGTGTGTGATTATTATTATTATTATTTTTGACATAGGGTCTCCCTTTATTGACCAGACTGGGATGCAGTGGCATGATCTTGGCTCACTGCAGCCTCGAATCCCTGGACTCACATGATCCTCCCGCCTCAGCCTCCCAAGTACCTGGGACCAAAGGTGTGTGCCATCACCCCCAGCTTTTTTTTCTTTTTTTGGTAGAGCGTCTTGCTATGTTGCCCAGACTGGTCTCAAACTCCTGGGCTCAAGCAATCCTCCCACCTTGGCCTCTCAAAGTGCTGGATAACAGCTGTGAGTCACCTCGCCCAGCCCATTTCTGTGTGTTTAAGACCTAGTGTTAGTATTTAATAAATATTTATAGATAAAAGGGTGGGCCATGGGTGATAGGTATGATCCCAAGAGAACACACAGAACCAGGGTGCCCACAGCGGGCTAAGCCAAGAAAGGCAATGCCCACTGCACTGATGTGT